ACAAGTTTGAGAGAAAAAGCAGTTGATTACAGACTTTCTCAAAGTGGGTCCTAAAATCACCATTCTAAAAGATCTCCCCCATATCTGTTTTCAGAATCTACTGTACTTTTGCTTGAGCTTTGATTTTCAATAATGGTGACAGCTTCCTTCACCATACTTTTTATCCTTTTCTGCTCTCCTTTCAGTAGAGCTCTCACATTACAGCTGTAATAGTCACTATCAGCCAGACCAGGCCAGCTCTGGAAATTCCTTTACCCTGACCAGGAGATCATATGTGAGCCCCACATCAAGCAGCAGTCACACCCCTCCTTAACAGAGAGAACTTAAAGGATGTTTGGTCTTGCCCAGCTGATGAGTGAGCAACCCAGTCAGCTGTGAAAAAGGTCTCAGACACAAGGAGGAAACTTGACCTTGTTTTTAGCTGTTTCCACTAGCTATAATACAGATAGATTCAAATCTTGGCCTGCCAGTGCAAATATTTGCATAATGTGGATCTCATTTTTCTCATTAAAGTCACCATGTTAGTTTTAATGAGCATTTTAAGTAGTGAATATTAGAAGTTATCATTAAAGTCTCCAATTACAGATTCATTTTGGTATATGGGTCACTTTTTTTTTTTTTCCTCTCTATGTAAAGAGATACTAAAATTAGGGGTAAAGGGGAGAAGACTAAAAATGTTCCACTTGAAATTTTGGAGTTTCTTTTATAATGAATATGATAACTTAGAAATTGGTTTTATTCTGCTGACTTATTTGTTTTCAACAGCCTGAGTTTAGAGGTCCTAGTTCACCTGGGAAGCTAGATAAAAACAAGCAATGTGTTAAAGTACTCAGGGAGACTGACAGCATGTTTTTAAGGTATTTTTTAATATAAACATGTTTTAAAGGTATTTAGAACATATTTTTAAATCTTATTCCTACTTAAGTAAGGAGAAAGGAGAAAGACCTCAGACACACCAGTGGATAGAAGTTAATGGATGAGTTAATGTACCTGTCATTTAGTAAATGCTGAACAAAGAGAAAGGAAAAGACATCCTAACTTAGGAGGGAAGAGCCCAAAATTCCATGGAAGAACTTCATACTGAAATAATTTACTTGTTATGCCTCCAAGGCAGAGTGCTCCAGCAATCTGCTATAATAAAGTTGGAGATGGTTTGTTCACAAGATAAATCCCATGCTTCCTCCTTAGTTGATGTAAAATTTAAGGAAAAATAAAATAAAATAAAAGCCCCAGGTCTCAGCAACTATGCTGTATTGACCAGCCTCAGTTGAAGTTCTTGAAAATACATAAACTAATCAGCAGTAATTACTAATAGAGGAGTTAGTCCTGTCCTTACAGACCTGAGAGGCAAGCTGCCCTGAGAGCCCAGGCACTGAGTTCAGATACAAGGCACAGAGTAAGCCAGAATAAGTGGTTTAGGAACCACCAAAAACCTCGTCATATGAGAAAACTTTAGCCTGGATTCTTCCTTTCAGGATGTTTGAAGCCTTAAGAAGCCTAGTTGCCATCATGAGTTGCATATAAAAATTGGTTTTTTCATTCCTAAAGCATGCAAGCACTTTAAGAAAAAAACATATAATGCCACTTATCTACAGAACTCCCCTTTAACATTGCACATCTAAGCCTCTGCTTACAGAGTACAAAAGTAAGAGGAAATAATAGCCTGAACAGTGTGCCTAAACTTCATTCTCAGTATAAATGCTGTGGTTCAGAATGTACTGCAGGAAAAGAACAAGTTTTACCTGTTCTTGAGGAGTTTACTGGATTCCTACACCCAGAGGTATTCTGTTTATTGTTGCTCACCTGTCAGATCAATGAAAGCCTCTGGGCATCAGTGAAATCTTCTATGAATGGGGTGTCCTTCAAAACAAGTAGTTTTCTCTGGCATCAGCCACATGAGATGAGTTAACCTCACATTCTCCATCTCAAACACAAAGGGACATAGCTCCATTCCTTCAAATACCCACCTCAGATCCTTTTCCAGGGACAATCCAAGCCACTTCCTCAGCAAAGCATTGTTGTGGTAGTTTTTTGTATGTTGTTGTTGCTGGTGTTTCTTTTTAATGCTTTGAAAAATCTTGTTGAAAGGACCATTTTTGCACCAAGGGGAAATTTCTGTGTTTTCCAGGAGCCCACAGGTATGTGAAATGATGATGTGCTGCCATTCAAAGGTGGCAACCAGCAGATACACCAAGCACTAGTCTGGCTTGTTTCTTAGAAACATTGAGCATATATATATATTTATACAGTGACATGAATTGAAAGTACCTGTTTCAGATAAAGTGCTTTATTTTGTTGTTTCCTGATAAATTGCTTTTTATAGCTGTTGAACAAACTTGATATCAAAAAGCATGAATGCTCTGAGCAGAACTAGCAGCATTCACGAGCATTCAGATTTCAATATGCATAGCAGGTTCAGGAGTTGGTTGGTGTTACTTCACCTTCAAGATTAAATAGCTATCAACTTAGCAATTTTTTTTTTTCTTTTTTTGAGATTTATTGTTTCTGACACACAAATGTAGATTAAATATATTCAGCAACTCCCACACATATTTATTTTAGGAGCTTTCTCATGCAAATATGATACCTCAAAGGCATTCGTTTACCAACGAGAGCTTTCGTATTGCCTAGGTCGTTTCTGGAAAGGAGTGGAATCTATTCAAGCACATCAAATTCCAATGTCTTTCTCAATACACCTGTGTGTTTGAGGGTATCTATACCACTTTGTGTTCAAGGGTTATAATAAGAATGTCCTTGAGAATGAGGTGGGGGAAAAAAAAGCTAAGTATTGAAAGTTAAGAAGTAAAATTACATTTTATAGTCTGTCCTCTCGTGTTTCCAGCAGATGCTCTGCATTGTAACAGAGAGAAAGTGTCTGATCTTGAAACCAAATTACAATTTCAACGACAGCCTGATATCTATCCAGAAGAAGTCACATTACTTAAAAAGTAGCTCAGCCTGCTTTGGCAGCAGCAATTTTTGACCCAGCCTTAGTGCTCACAAAGACTTCATCTGGCTGAAAAGCTCAGATGCCCTCAGATGCCAGCTGCACATTGGCAACAGAGCCTGTAGCTCTAAAAATTAGTGCACTTTTTTTTTTTTCTTCTCAAAAGTATTAAAAACCACACAGGATAATTAAAACAGTTCTGCAACCCCGGCAGAACGCTGAACCTGCCTGAGCCATTCTCTCACTTGAAAGTGACACATCAATTAAAAAGTTTCATTTGGCTGGGGGCTTTAATTTACTACATTTCAACATTCTGCTGAATCTGTAGCTTTGTTTCCCTCTGCACAGGCCCATCCCATGCCAAGAGAGGGCCAGATGCAGAGATAATGCTGAGCAGGATTTATTTGGCAACTCGCCCCCACAATCCTGGAAGGAGGCATTCAGGTGCCAAGCTTAGACAGAAGCTTCTGCTGCATTTTGACTGTTGCCTTTAAAGCACATCTGCAGTGCATTTAGGACCACAAAGTGAGGGCCCATGCCAAAAGCTAACTGTAGAAAAGTGAGAAAGCAGCATATTTACAATATTAATTTTAAATGCACTCTGCATGGGCAAGAGCAGCAATGATTGAGATATCAGCTGTCTCTGCAAATTCACCCTGCACCTAAAAGAATAAAAATGTAGAAAAGCAACTGTTTCTCTCTCATATTGCAAAGGAGAATTAGAAGGGCAAATAGCTCAGGTAAACTAGAACAGCTGGTTTTTCTAGCCCAGTTTAGGCAAAGAATCCCTTGTTAGAAACAATCCCTTCATATTTCAGAGTAGCCTTCTCATAATGTTAATAATAAAAGCACAGTGTTCCAAAATATTTCTGCCAGAATCAGAAAAAAAATACAAGCCCACATGGCCCAGGAAGGTCTGCCTGCCAGGGAGGACAGGATCCAACAGCTCTTTTTAAGAACTGTTTGAAGATCCTGACTGCAAACTGTCAGCTCATACTCAGAATTTATTAAGGCTTGTGCGAATGTGGTTCCTTTAATGACACTACTAAAACCATCTTCTGAGCATTCAAATAAACTACATTTCTAGCTTGGCTGGAATGGAAGAAGACAGCTTAATTAGAACAACCATATTTTCAGATGGCATAACATTTGGTATTTCAGCTCTGTAGTTTTATAGCTTTGCAGAAATTACCTTGCAGAAGCTGAGATCTGCTCAGATTTCTCCTTAATATGCTTCCTTTCACAGGGAACACTCACCTCATGTTTATGCTAATAAAATTATTTCTCATTATTTTATCTGTGCTGTATATTCCCTTTCATTTCTAAACTACAAAGACCAAGAGAAAAAATTATTCTAGCAAGACCTGTGGCATGTCCAGCTAAGAAACCATCAAGAGAAGTTTGAACTGTGCTAATTTCAGTGGCTGAACCGCATTCTTATTAATCTTGTACAGCATCAGAATCTGCCAAGTCAAAAGCATGAGACCATCTCCAACTTCTCCCATAGGCTCAGTGCTCTATGAGGCTAAAAAATCCTACATGAATAATCTCACTGGAATAAAGGAGATGGATAAAACAAGACAGATGGCATGGAAACTACGTTAATCACTTAAATAATAAAATATATATATTGCAGTTGTTAGAGTTCGGTAGAACACATTCTAGAATGTGTAAACTGCCATAATTTTTGGAGATAACCAGAGCACAGAACTTCTCATTAGAGAGGGTAAAAAGCAGGTCAGTAATTTAGAGATCAGTCAAACCAACTTCATCTCTGGGATTATATATTAATCTCCATTCCGACAATAAATAAGGACTGTCTGAAAGTGCCTCATTCATTGCCTGCTAAAGATTTACTAGGTGTCACCCAGATTTGAAAAATGCTTCTCCCTTGAGATTCAGCAATGGTACACAAGTAGATTTCCTGGTTTGCCCTCACCACTGCACCTTCTCACAAACTCAACAGAAGAATGGCATCAAGCAGAAAGATGGCCTGTGATTTAAGGTGAGATTCAATTGACTTTCAACTCAACTGAAAGAGGAAAAACAAATGATGAAACCAAAGAGTGATAGTCTCAAGGTCTTATGATCCACCAGCTAATTGCACTTAGAATGTCTTTGTAAAGGACATATTTCCAGTCTGATACCCTTAATGACCAGTTCTCAACTAGTTGCTGATGGCCAGTACTTGCAATGCTTCCTTGGTGAGGTTAATCAACACATGATCATTCAGCAGCTTTGTGGAGCACTTAGGAGCTCAACTCTTGCTAAAATCTATTTATTGTGGAAAGGCAGGGATCCATCACAGCTGCCTGTACCGTAAGGGACACAGAAATCTTGTTCAATCTGGATGTCATTGCTGGCACAGAGTGTGGTTTTGTATTAATTTAAACCAACTTAAACGGCTGCTTTTCCTCCCTCATGACTATGCTTTCCCTCTGCCTACCCTTGCATCAATTCTGGCATTTATTTGACTCCTCCTTCTGTATTTTTCAGCTTTGCTGAGGCTCCTCTGGGCCTGCAGCTCTACAGCCAGGTTGCCTGGGTATCAGGCATGTGTGGCATCCACCAGGGCAGGCACACACAGCCAGGGACAGGCTGAGGCTCTGCCTGCAGACACCCCTGCACATTTTGCCTTGGCTATGACTGACACACATGATCTGATGGGCACCTTACTCATCAGAGGAGAGAGACTCTAGCTGCCATCCTCAGGAGAAATCAGGATCACAATGACAGTAACTGGATCTCTTAGGTATCCTCTTTCTTGCTGATTGATCAATTACTGATTGATATCAAGTGCCTTTCGGTCAGTTTGACAAGTCCCATCACAGGTCTCCAGGCAGTCAGATTGCTGGCCACACCTCCAGGTCAGGGCTTTCCAGGAATGACAGAGTGAGCCAGATCCCATGAAACCTGGTGTTAGCTGATCAGAGGAGAAGCATTCCAGGAAAAAGTCTCCAGTTTGCATGCATGCCCATTGTGCCAGGCCATCATGCTCTGTTCATGCAGTGAGCCAGGAGAGTGGGTCTCAACCCTTTATGTTAGTCTGGGAAGGGCTTCTCCCTTCCTCTCTCCTTCAGAGGATGAGAGTCATCCTTTTCAAGTCTTCTCTTGCTCAAAGCCATTTGACTCAGGTCCCAGACCTGCACCTCTCCCTAGGGAGAAGAGAAAAACCAGAAGCTTTGTTGCTCACATTGATTCATGATCATGGATGATGTTAATTGACCCCAGAGCAATTCATTTCAGGAAGCATTCCCTTGCCCACTGAGTCAGGAACACAACCACTAAACAAGACATAAAGATACACATCATAGCCCATTATTTCACTAATCTCAGAAGAGCTGCAGTGGCATGTCTTACATGTGACTCACAAACCCACATTGTTTGGTTTCTACCTGGTTACTTAAAGCCTTGGTTCTGAAATGCTATCCAAGGATTCTCCTCTGGATTTGCTGAGGACTTGCATCCTGGAAAGTTGCAGCCTCAGACCTCCAAGGGGTTTCAGCGTCTCAGCCACAGGCACTGATAGTCCCAGGTCATAGCAGTCAGCCCACAAGAGCCAACAGATTTAGGGAAAGTGCTGGCTGACTGTAATGAGGCTTGACAGAGTGGAGATGCCCAGGTAAAAAGCTGACCTTGTAAAGGAGGGACCTCATCAGCAACTGACAGGGCTCACTGGGATAGTTTCAGAGGAGAAACATGGAACAAAGTATGGATCTCTAACAAAAGGAAGTGTTCTGTGTCAGGCTGCTTTCCCCTTACTTCTACCTGCCAGTCAGGAGAAAAGCTGGAATTCTGCTGCTCAAACTGCCACTAACTAGTGCACCTAGTTTTATACATATATATGTGTGTGTGTGTGTGTGTAAGTAACATATATAACACCTCCCTGCTGCCTCCTCAGTCCTCCTGAACAAGCCTTAGAGGAAGGAAATAGATAAAGCCTCCAAGTGGGAGTGTGCCTCAGCTGTGGGGGTTTCAGCTGCTCCAGATGTGGGATGGGAATAGGGCTGTAGGTGTCCAAGTGCCACTCTGAGGAAGGTGATCTCCTTGCTCCAAGGCTCCTGAGTGCAGAGGAGGTAAAAGCCCAGGGTGGGGTCATGTTGACACATTTGGTCTGTGCCCTGTGTGCTCAGCCAGGAACTGACAGAGTTTCACTCCCTGGGTCCTTTGTCTATGGCTGTGATTTAGCACTGCAAACCACTGCTGGCCAACTGAACTCCAGACTGGAAAGGCACACCCACCCTCAGCTTTGCTTTAAATGCATTACTCTGGTTTTTCACTGATAATTTCCACTGAAAGTCTCTCCGGTGCATTACTGCAGCCACAGAGAAATCAATGAATCCCAGTGAGTTCCCAGCTGTAGAGGAAAGCACTGCAAAGGGAGGAGAGCGCTGCCCCACTCCTGGCAGCCCCAGCCCCCAGCTGGCACAGCCTTCCCTGCTGCTGGAACCCACCACATGTGCTGGAAGGCAGCCCAGGGCAGCCACAAAGGCAAGGCCTTGGCCTCTGCCTGGGAAGTGCCAGCACAGCCCCTCTGCTGACTAACCTGGCACTGCCACAGCCGGCAGGATGAGGGTTTATTAGGTGGGAAATGATTTCCAGTAGGGTCATTGATGCCAGGATCTGGCCTCGCTGCTGGGACCTTGCACTGCTGCCACCTGCCCGACGGTGACAGGACAGCTGCAGCAAAGCTGGGTGCAAGGGCCGAGTGTGGGGAGCAGGAAAGTGGAGCACACCAAAGGCTCCTGCTCTCCTGTGCCCTGTCTCCCCAGCAACCAGGTTGCAGAAACCCTGCAAAAGTCCATCTCATTTTAAGGAAGAAAAAAAAAAAGGCGTTTCAGTCCAAACATAGCATTTCCTACGTCTAGATTTTACATTTTCTTTTAGTATTACCAAAAGCAAAGGGACGTGGAGGACACAAATGAATAAAATGCACCAGAGACCCAAAGAAGTGACCTCAGAGACAGCACAGCCCAGAGGTGGGAGATCCCCAGTTAACCCTGTGCCCCTCACCTCCCCCAAGAGCTCACAGAGCACACACCAGCGTGTCCCCTCCCTAGGACCAGTCAATTTCTCTCTCATAGATGGTGCCACAAATATTTAGGCCCAGGGTAACACTCCAGGACCACAACACTGTTCCAGAGCACTGGTAGGAGGGAAGAGGCAGTTCAGGTCCTGCTCCTGTGAACTTCTTCCATGAAGGTGGAACATAACATTTTCAGGAGCAACTTGCCAGCAGCAATCAATCAGAATTCCTGTACTGAATTTGAACACCAAATTTCCAGAGATAACAGCTTCTTTCTCATGCCTCATCCCAGGTAACATTCAAGGCCAGGCTGCATGGGGCAGGCAACAACCTGATCTAGCTGAAGAGATCTCTGCTTATTGCAGTAGGATTGGACTAGATGGCTTTTAAAAGGTCTCTGATTTTTCTGTGATTCTCATTAAATCCTTTTGGTTAAAAACATTCTAATAACCCTGCCCTTTCTTGTAAATCTTAAGGGTGGACTCGTGTGCTTTCCTAATCACCAATATATTAATCACTTTTCCAGTAATTTTGCAAGAGGAAACTTTGCAGCGTAAAGCAGACTTAGTTAACATAAGCTGGGGCCAAGAGCATTTTGACGTCAAGGTTAGTAGCCTTGACATAACGGAATTTAACTATTAAACTATTAAAAGCATTTAGGGTGTGGATGTAACTTGAAACATATTTAGGAAACCAAACCTAACAGGCTATAGCACATTACAAGGTAAGTGCGTTGTTTTGGAATCTGGTAGGGCCCCCGATTCTGATAAGAAGGCATCCAAGTAAAACAAGAAGAATTATGAGAGTAAAATCAATGTATACCCATCAAAGGTTAATAACTATTGCCTACAGTTTCATGTGCAAACACTCCTATTCCAGCTGTGAAAAGAATAATTTAAAAAAAAATTTAAAAGCCTGATGGGGTAAATGCACTTTTAACCAAATACTCTTATTCCTTTTCATCATACACTACCTTTGATAGGTGAAATTCCTCCATGACAGGCCTATTGGATGGTGTTCAGCAAGTAGGACTCTGGGGAAAACAGAAGTTGTTGTTGGGGCCAGAGAAGCTGCTGTTGGAACATATTCTTGTTTCCTACCACGCACAAATGACAAGAGGAAGGAATTAAGCCAGAAAAGTCACTTTTGACCCGGTTGCTCTATTTAACTTACAATATTACTGCTGAGGAAGTAAAAGCAGTTTAACTACAAACTCCTTCATGCATGTCAACAACTGGGCTTTCAAAGGCATGAATTTAGTGCCCTGTATAGTTCTCTGAGAGTCCCTTTGTAGTCACCTTATATTGGGAAAATGGGGCACACAAGTTTGCTTGGGCTCAAGCTGTGGAAAAGGAGTAGCCAAACAGTTCCTGGGAAGGGCATCTCCCCCAGCACAAATGCTGTAATGTCTTCAGAGATGGAAGATAAATAAATCACATTTCAGATGAGAGGAATGCTGGAAAAAAAAAAAAAAAAAAAAGACAAAAAGAAGGAAAAAAAGTGAAGGAAAAAAAAAAGTGATGTAGCAATGGAAGGCTAAGTAAGGAGCTGCCTGATTAGCACTCCACAACTGTGAGAGGAGAGCTTGAGGCTGGGCCCTTCACCAGCAGTCCTGAGGCAATGCATTTATGGAGCTTAAAAGAAATACCCGTGGGGGTCACCCAGACAGGAGACCTGGGAAGAAGGGAAGTGCTAAAATGAAAACCTTGCATTCCATTAAGAAATCTGTAGTTGTTCCCTCTGTGCCTCAGACTGAACTGCATTTCTGTATTTTTGCCAAGCAGCTTTACCTGTATCATATATCTTTGGGTTTAGCCAAAGGGGAAGTAATAAATTGGAGCATATAGAACAAGATAATAAAACGCAGAAGTTTTATACTGCTGCCCCATCAGCCTCAGAAAATATATGAGATCTTGGCTCTAGCAATGATCAGGAAACACATTAAGCAGCATTAATTCCTCTCAAGCTTTCTTGAAAAACAACTTCTCTTATCTTAGCCCCAAAGTTACCTCTGTTCCTTGCAAATTTCTGCCTTAATCCCAGCAGAAGGATGGCTACGATTTCAGTAGTAAAAAATTATTTGCAGAGGTAACAAACCTGAAATGACTGATGGACCCACTAATCTCAAAGGGAGGAAATTCGCAGAACTTAAATTTCCCATTTTATTAATTTTTATGCATCTCTTCAGCAGTTCAGTCCACATTAGCAGAGACAGTGGGGTCACAACAGGTTCAAGGCACACTTACACCATTACCTGAACAAGGGTTTTTGTGCTGTAAAATCTATTTCCTATCTGGATTACGGGAGGAAACATGACCTGCATAACCAGTGCTTCTGAAACTGGTTTTATATGTATCCCAATAAATGATTAATCTATCTTTGACTTAATCAAAAAGTTATTTCCGCTAAGGGCTAACTTCTGCCTCTTCTAGTTGAAGTGTCTGGGCTATAACATCTTGCAAGGAAGTCTGTTGAAATCACAGCCAAAATTTCAGCCAGACAGGCACAAGCAGGCGTTGAGTGAGAGTCATGGATGTGATTTGTGTCAGGGCAGTGTCACTGTCACTGTCAGTGTGCCCGAGCTAACTTGATGGAAGCTGATGTACTGCCCTGCCAACATGAACCAACTGAGAAACTGCTGCTGGCTGTGACCCCCAGCACACTTTAGCCCCTCACAGCCCAGCACAAGGATTGTGGAAGCCCAAAAAGAGCAGCATTAGCCTTTTATAATTCAGTGTGCACATACAGCCTGTCCTGAAACCCTCTCCACAGAAAAAGAGCAAGCCCTTCCACCCACCAGTTCTGTTGGTTCAGCTCAATTGCTCCCAAAACTGGTCTCCATTTATTGCGAGGAACTGGCTGGCAGGCCAGGGCTTCCAGCACTGATTCTGCCATCCTGTTAAAATCACATTCCTACACAGCTCAGACAAGGAGATCTATAGTTTTAATATAATAAAACTAAAATTCCAGTTTTCAGTCTCTTGAGGCCTGTGTGAAACCAAGCTTGCAGTAAAAAACTGTTTGTATAGGGCACTGTACACACTTAAAAAGCCAACTGTATTGTCAATATTGAAAATTGATATAGATTTAATTTGCCTTTTTTGCTGTACTTGAGAAACAGTAATGGGACACCCCCCAGGGCTAATTTAATGTAGTTTTGTGAACAAAGCATCTGCTTCACATCTCCAAGCAAATGAGTTTGAAGTCTTATACAGAGTGCATTGCATTAACCTTTCTAATTATTTTTCTCCTGAGGAAGCACTTCCAGATTTCTCCTGACAAAACATATTTCACTCCTGAAGTGTATTTACTGCCAATAATTAAAACAAAAATAGAGCTAACACATACACACTCTTGTAAAACAGGCAGCCCAACAGCAGAACCACGAATTCTAAAGAGCTTTGCAGCTCCATAAAGCCTTGGAGCAGCCTTAAATACAGCTGATAACAAATTCCATCCAGCACAAAATGCATGCTAGCTACAGATTAAATAACCAAGCCCCTGGAAGTTAAGGTCTGACACCAGGAGCGTGTTTAGTCCTCTCATTTTAAAAGTCCTATGTTTGTGTTAAATGCAGAGGCTTAACATGCTCCAGCAGAACGTGTCTGTGCATTCCAGCATGGCAAAGGATCAGTATTTAACATCAAAACTGCCCCAGGAACATCCATGGGGTCTTTCAATGAGAGATAACAGAACGTGTGTCCTCCCTTTCTCTCCCCACCCCAAACTGTGCACAGCTCTGTGTGATGTTACTCCACAGGGCAGCCGAGACACTGGATGGTGTCTTCCTGTGATAAATAGGCACATTTATTGGCAACTCAGCACATTCATAAAGTTGAAATGAGCCACAGCAGAAGTGCAGCGAATAACCAGACGCTGCTCCCTTTGAAGGCAAATGGAAATTGGAGATGGCACACTAGAAAGGATCACCTTTCCTCTGCCTCTGTCAATGCCATTTACATGCCACTTGCATTTTTAGCTCAAATCTAGAAAGAAAAAAATTCTTTCATAACGGCTGCATTGAGCTCATAAACAATGGAAAATTGCTGATTTGAGTCTATTTAAAAGAAAAACAAAATTATTCTGGACTAGGCACAATAGCATTAAGTTCTTTTTTAACTTGTGTAATTACAACTGGCCATTCATATGCTGAACTGACATCAAAGAACAATTTATTTTGAGTAATAGCCCATAATTCACCCTAACATATGTAATTAGAAATGAAATTTAATATGTGCCCAGGCTATTGAGAGAGAATGGGAAGTGCAGGCTTTTGAATTCATACTGTGTACGAACTGCTTAATAATATGACAGCTAAAGATTAATCACCCATCACAGTGCAAAAGATCAGGTAATATTAAACAACCAAACAAAAATCAAGCTTCTGATCACAAAGGAAGCCCATTATAAACACAGTGGAAATTATACATGCCAAAGCTAAATTAATTCCTAGGATAACTCAACTATTATGGGAAGAAAAAACACAAAAATGGTACTTGGGCCTCTGTTTGTGCAGCATGTGGTAGTCCCAAAGACAGGCTGAGGCTCTGCCTCAGTTGGAAATGGCCATCCAGCCTCCCAGGACTGCAGCCCTGGAGTGGGAGCCTCCCACCAGGGTGGGAAGGAGCAGGGTGGTCCCATCCCAGCACCACGGAGGAGCTGCCTGGCTGCAGGAGCCTCCAGCGAGTCCTGAGGGGTCTCAGCTGAACCAGAGGCAATTGCTTGGGCTGCAGTCATCCCTGGGGAGGCTCTCCAGGGGCCCTGGACCTGTCCTGCTGCTGCTTTTCACGTGTCATGGCTAACATGGTGACACATCTTCATTTCTCCAGCTAAACCCTTCCTGCCTTGGTCTTTCCCCCTGCCAGTACTTGCCCATAGTGGTCACAGTGCTTTTGGAAAGCACTAATAATGTACCAGGCAGGCAACAAAAATAAACTGGAAAGGGTGAGTGGAGTACAAATGTGCAAAAAGCAAAAAGGCTTTCAACTATTTAATTGCTGTCTTATGAAAAAAAAATTGCTGCCCTGTGAAATACAGCGATTTATCTGCTTCAAATAAAATAAATGAAGTAGAAATGTCTATAGAAAACATCTATATCATGTAGCACAAGGGGAACAGGTACAACTCAAGGCTAATGACTCCCTACCTTTCTAAGTACTTTGTCCCTGTAGCTGCTGCACATTTTCTTGAGCTGGTGTCTCACTGAAGCTTTTGTGACTGATTGATAGTCTAATAATTCTGATTGCATTTAATGGCTTTACCACTTACCTCTCAATGGCTGCATTTAAATCTTTTTTATCCTGATCATTTCTCAATGTATTCTGTGATTCTGTCTTGCCATCCACCCCTCACATCAACATTGGAATTGGGCTTCAAGAAGAAAGCAGGGAGTACCTTTTATGCCCTGAGACAAAAATGGTGTTTTACTGAGGCATTTAGGCAGTGAAAAGAAAGATTTCCCTTTGGGTTTAAATGCTGGGTTTGGGGGTTTTTTGACTTGGCTCTTCTGCACTCTTCCCATTCTCCAGTTCTGAACTTGTTGGCTCCCAGAACTTGTCAACAGCTGAGCTGAAACAATCCCTTGTGGAGGACACGTGGCTCTGAACATGTCCATTTCTTGCAGCTGGCGAGAGAGAGCTCTTCCGAGGCTTTTGTGACAGGAGGTTTGGGGTGGAAAGCTCTGAAGAACCAAACACAGGAAGTCACAAACGGTAAAGGAGGACTTAAAATGTTTGTCAGTCCCTAATAAGTATCTCAAAATACTTTGGAGGTAACCAGCAGTTCCCCTGGATTACTGAGCTTTCTGTAACACTCAAAGTACCATCAAAGAAGCTGCCAAAGCTGCCTGTGCTTAGTGTAGGGACCACACTTCTGCGTCATTTGGTTTGGTTTATTTCAAAGAGTTGACTTCTGAAGCTACCTCTGCTCTTCCTCTTTACTCAAATGCGTTTGACCAAATAAATGTCAGCATGTCATGTGTGGAGGACAGACAGCAAGAGCCAGCTGCAGTAGTTTGAGAAAGCTTCCAACAGCCACCAGGGTGACTTCCCCGTGCTTTGCTCTTCCTTTTTCACATGAGTTTCTGTGAACTTTAACAGGACTACAGGGCTGGATATATATATATATATATATATGCCCATGTATGTATGTGTGTATATACATTCTTATATACACTTCAAAATTAATGCCATAAATGTGTGTAGGGGTATAACCTGCTATACAATCATAGATTATATAGTAATATATAGTGTAGCTTATATAGCAATCATGGTTAACACTAATAAATGTTTATAATGATCCACTGGTTGCATATAAACAGAATATCAAGGCCACACATGCAAGAGGCTCCTTCACCTACCACTGTTAATGAAACTGCTATTTATAGAAAATATGTTTGTTTGTGTGCTCATGATAAAGACTGAGTAATGAATTCCTCAGGGTTATTTCAGGTTCACATACACACAAAAATTTAAAGTGCTTACACAGCTGCACCTGGACTTCTTCCCTTCTATTTGGCAGCCAGGACTTATCCTGGGCTCTGAAATAGCTTGTCCTGTTTAACATTAACATTAAGCAATGTAAACAGCTAACAATATCTCATAGTTAGCCGTAATGCTAAGACACACATAGCACCGAGGAACCCTCACTCCCCTTATTTGCAAGGATAATTAAGCAATTATCATTACAAATACAAAATACAGGGCCATTGTTTGTCTGGTTTTCAGGTCACTGGAGTCCCACAGAAATAAGGAAGACTGACCATTGCCAGATCCCATTTCAGCAGGTTGAGGAAATCTCTAAGTCTCCATTACCCAAATCATGACTGAGCAGCTCCCATTTCCATGGACATCTCCCAGCCTACAGCTGCTGCACAGGGTGGACTGGCAAAGGGAAGGCAAATAATGGGGCAAACCCCACCACTTAACATCTCTGGGGACGTGTGGGATCACAGACATACATACTTTCAGCTGATAATGACAGTGCACAGTAGGCTGATCTAACGCTCTTTAGCACACACTGCATCCAGTTCACTCCTGACATGGATTGAATCCCCATGGACAAGCTGGTATTTCAGGCTGCTCTTCCATCTCTGCTGGTTTGGATGCCTAACACTGTAATTTCACAGTTAAAACAACACTTCTGGGCTGACACACACTTCACCCAGACTCTCAGTGCAGCTCACAGTCAGCAAAAGCCACTGCTTCTTAGAAAGTTCAAGGTTCTTGGCTATCAGTTTTTAGCATTCTCACACAGAAGTGCTGACATGTCCTTGCAGTGTTAATAACCCCAGCTGCAATGCAGCTGACCTTGTGGACAACTGCAGGCAGGGGACAAAAAGCTGCCTCTTAAGCGTGAGTGAAGGGTGAGATTTAGGAACAGGCTCATGCTGAGAGCTGCAAGTGAAGGTAGGCACTTTTCAGGAAGGACAGAAAATAAAGCCCACCTTCTGAGACACCTGGCATCCCCTGTGTTTCACTGATAGACCTGTCTTTCCCAGATATAACGCTGTAGTGCCACATTAGGCTGCCCCAGGAGAGGGGACAAGCACGGGGCTGAGGGCAACCCCCATCCAACAGACCTCTGCCACAGCAGGTACATCAAGGGGTGAGCCAGGACCAGGGGGTTCAACAGGAACAAAAGGAGGCCAGGCAGGGCTTCCCCTATAAAGTAGCCAGGACAGGGTCCTGGACCTTGGATAAGGTGGGGAGACTCCAAGGCAGGCAGGGCTGGGCAGGGCAGGGCAGTGAGGGCTTGTTTCTTCATATTCAATAGCTGTTTGTACCAACTACTGCTTCACTTTGTATTTAAACTACAAATACATTTGGGCACAAGCCAACCTTATTCTCCCTCTTTACAAACAGGTCCTGTAACAAAGCACTTCTGGTAACAGAAGGAACAAATGTTTTTTCTCTTAGTGAATCCTGCTTTAGAAAAAAGGATTTTTTTTCTTACAAACCTGGCAGAAACATTAATTTTAAAGTTCCTCCTCTTCCTGAGTTCCAGGCAGCCTGGTAACTCCATGACCCTGAGAAGCCAGACTAGATATGATAGCACCTCAATACACAGCAAATCTCTAAATGTGATTAAGCTGGAGTACCCTGAAATGTCTTTGGGAGCTGGTATCATCCGCTCCTCAACAGCCATTCACTAACCAACTACTTGCCCACATTGTTTATAGGTATTTCAAACAGCACTACAGATCTTCACATTGATCTGTAAAGGATTCCAGTTGGTAATCCCCTTCTATTGTGAAAAACAAACATTTTCCCTATCTTTTATCAGCATTTGCAGCTTGCCTTATTGCGTATTTGAAGAAGTCTGGGACATGTTAGGGAAATTCCCACAGGCCTAGAAGATTTCAGGCAGAATCCCACTCTCTAATTCCCCCTTATCACATAACAATACACAAGATATGAACAGCCTGAACAGACTGCATTGACTATGGATTCCTGGCAAGAAAGAGCAAGTTTCTCCCTTCCAGGAACAGAGCAGGAATATAAATGATTAGCTTTCAGACCACAAACCCATCAAATTAATCATCTGTGAACATCAATAACATATATATATGGACAGTAACTACCAACCCAGAATGAACACTGACACTGATATCTATGTCAGTGACATAATTTCATGTCTTGCTTACATGGTCACCAGGTTCCTTCTCTTTGGCTGAAATAAATACTAAACACCTTAAATCAGAATCAGAAATAAGCAATACAACAAATGTTCAGTATCCATTTCAAGGTAAACACGAGAAGAACAAACTACATGATAAAAGAAGACACAGCACTGTCATCATTTATTTCTCTGGAAGAAAAGTATATGGTGTGTGGCCTCTCTCTTCAGCACTGTACTTTTAGTTTCACCACTAGCCTGAAAGTATAGTGGTCACATTCTGCTCCTCTTTTCCCTTTCAAATTCTCCCTTCCCAGAGGCACATGCTACTCTGTACAGTCATAGTTGTCAGGGTAATATCCAAAACCCATGGATTAATAAAAGTGTGAAATTACCTTTGTCATTTGATACTGCAGAACAATTTAGGTGGACAGAAATATTATCCTATCAACTCATCACTGAGTTGAGTTATCCTTCTGCTGGTACAACCAGTTACTTGTTATCCCTGAAAAATGGCTCCCATCGAGATCTAAGTCCAGCATCTTGCCACAAGCAACTGGAGAAAGCTGCAAGGTAAAAGCAGTAGCCGTCCAGTTCCTCAAACATCATGTCCCAAAGCTTACTTTCATTTCTTCAATCACCAGCCAGCTTCTCTAAGCCTTTTTTTATGTAACCTGCCAGGAGCATGGCCTGAGGCTGTGCAGTATCTGGTCTGATGCTGTGCAGTATCTGAGACATGCAAACAACCTCAAGAAAGAGAAGAGCCTTTGGGGATAGTGCATGTTTTCTCAGGAGAAATCTGTTGTTACCAGCTTTGAAGACAAAGTTTGTTTATCAACTGTCTAAGCAGGCTGCTTGATGCTAACAGATAGGGTTAGAGATCCTTTTGAAGGACATCTGGGCTGTGGTGTATCTGCTTTTGCCAAATACAGGTCTCCATTTCTGCATTTTCTGTCAACTGTTAAATCCCATGGTCAGCATTGTGCAGAGGGAAAATCAGCCAAATCCGTTTCCTTCAGGCTTTAATAGCTGTGAATCTTGAATTCTGATGTGTGCCAGTGCCCTGGTCCAGCAAAGTATCCAAACTGAGAGGGGCCATCACTGTCCTTGCAGAAGAGCTTTGTGTTATTTCAAAGACAAGGCAGTCCCAGCACCTGTGCTCACAGCACTTCTTACAGGCTGAACACCCGACTCACAGGCAGAATTTTATCACAAATCTTTCTTAGGGAAGTTCCCTTCTCAAAAGTTATTTACTCTTTCAAGGCTTCCTACTATGTTCCTCTCCTTACATTTCTATTTATTTACTAAACCACAAACTTGCATGTATTTCAAAGACATATTTGCTAAGAGACTTCACAGTGCATTGTCTGATTGAAAGTAAGATTTCCCATAAAGTACTCAGAGGAAAACTATTTCCATGTCAAGAAAAGACAGTAGCAGGTTGTTGTCACTTTCATGTGAAATAGCAAAATGCACATCCATAATTTCTTCATGTTCAAATAAACACTGTGGTGAATATAGTGACATGAGACATCTGCCAAGTCCACAATCCATTTCTTATGCTAGAAGCTTTTTAGTCTATCTGAAAAACAGAGAACTCCACCTTCTGAAAAGCTGTAGCACTGACTGCTACTGAAAGAGCTAATGTCAAAATAGAAAATGTCTTAAAATACTTTCTCCATTACAGTGGGTGAAAACTAGTCCTTGAAAGTACAGAGATACTATTACTTTCCCTAATGCCTGAAAATGACAAGAAAGGACAAAAAAGATTGGAAATTAAGTACTTCCACCTGACACCAGTGTTGAATGCTCTTATAAGGCAGAAAAAGAAGCATCAGCCATGCTGAGAGCTGAATCAAAAACCTGGATGAAAAAGGCAGACTTCAATGTTGTGAAGCAATCCTGTCTGGGAATTCCATACATGTGAGGTGTTCAGGTTTCCTTGGCCTTCAGGAAGGTCAGAACTTAAAGCCAGGAGAAAACTCACAGTGAGACAGCTGTATGTTACCAGAGTATCCGCTTTCTTGAGATATTTTGCTTTTAATGGCAGCTGAGTTCTTCACATAATATCTCCATCAACTACCGAGCCATTTAAATAAAGATATCAATTATTAGCCACATAAAAGTCTTCAATCATTGATCCAGTAAATCGGCTTAGTCTCCCTTAGCTTTTGCATGAAGTCATTTATGCAGATGTGGAGCACGCATCACACACTGGCAGAGAAAGCCAAACTCTGCAGAAACACTGAAAATATATTTACCTAGCTAATATCCCAAAGTTCACCAAAATCCAGCATATCAAGCTCTTGTATTGCCACCTCGTGGCTGATGCACATATAACTTGGCTTTACCAGGAGGACAGCAAGCGGATCAGGAATTCCTTCTATTGCTGTAAGGGAATCATAAATCGAAGTAGAGTTTTAAAAGGAGTTACATTTAATAACGATACTTTGCAATGGAATGAAGAGCTTCTCTGAAGGAAGAATATGAATCAAATACTGGGTGAAAATTCAGGCATGAACAACTCACCCATGATGTGTCAGCTCTGCAGCCATCCCTCAGCCAGGCACTCTTGATGGTGGGACACAAAAGACAACGGTACCACAAATAAGTAATTTCAAAATTATTCCAGTTAAGTAACCCGACTGGGAAATTTTTGTTATAGTTTCCAAGGCCCTGGGTGATTTGCTATTCAATTGACAAGATGAGAGTTGTGGTTTATAGAAAATGTTGCCTTTATTTGAGAATTAGATCCCACAATACTGGAAGGGTTGACTTTGATTATGTCCACATCTACTTGATGAAGGGCAAAGGAGCCATGGGTCAGTGAAGAACAAGGAGGAAAATACAAGTGGAGGGGTGCCTACCACTGGAAGTGACATCATCTACTGCCCAGAGAACTGTGGGGGTGTTCAGCAGGCTCCACCCAGGCCCTTCATACCAGCATTTTATATTTACTTCAATTTCACATACCAGTTCCCTGAACTCTCTAAGTAATTTTCTTCAAATCACCTAGAAGTCTATACACCTGCACTGGAAAGCAGAGGGAGTTTCAGCTTTCATATTTACTTTTATATTTTCTGAAATCAGAACAGTTTTCTCCTTTCCATCATCCAGAATACTAAGTCAGGCAGCCAAGATAAAGCATTCATCCTTAACAACTGAATTAGGAAAAATTCCATTCTTATTCTCCTTATTATCTCTTGTTAGTTCTTGCTCTAATCTCTGTTATTTTTCCAAGTACATTGCCATGAAAATAATGATCCTTTCATGACTATTCTATTTATCATAATGGAAGCTAAGCCTTTACTATCAGTCCTGGATTTATTGTGTGAAAATGCTTTCAAAATGCCTGAAAAAATCATTTGCTTACAAGGCTAAGATAAATTGCTTTATGATTTATAGGAAGACAATCACACATAAAGATTGATGATTTATAATGGAAAGACTAAGCACCTTAATCACTTCTAACTGCATCCACATTTCTTCTACTTAGGCTGAGCCTGTCTCCCAATGAGATTTAGTCCTGAACACTTCCTACTTTCCCTGGTTACATTACTGGTATCCCATTATACAGCAAAGAGGGATCACCCTTGGCTTTGCCTTAATCTTTTAAGTGAATGGTTCTCAGAACAGATGATTTGACCCTTACAGTATGGCAGGATGGTGAAATAAGTCAGTTTTAATAGAAAGTTTTCTCAGTTATGCCACAAATACTCTGTGAGTGATACTAACCCATAAGCTTTGGGGAAAGATACCATGTGCCTATACACACTGTGTAATTATTTAAATTTCATGAGAGATGCAGAACTTTCTAAGACTGGTATCTTATTTAAAAATTAAGTCTGTGCATGATTGTTTGTGGAGTAAGGAGAGATTCTGAACTTTGGATACTGTCATGTCTAAAAAAGCTGTGTAAAAAAGGAATAATTGCTGAAAGCTAACAAGCCACAAATAATAACATTCTCCCAACAGTATTTTTAAAATAAAGAAGATTTTCATAGTTGATTCAGGATTAGGGGTTGTCTTAGAAAAGCCAAGTTTTGAAACTGAATTTTTTTTTAAAGTCAATGACAAAAGCAGCTGTCAGCACCATAGCATGAAACCCCTGGGTCATTGCAAAATCAGCGGAATCATTTAGCATGGAAAACTACAAAAGCATATTCCATATTAATTGGTCTGGTGTTTAAAGGATGCACATTAAATTTAAATCTAAAACAAGATCCATAAGGCACAAAGACCAATTAAAATCACCTGTGCACTTATCAGAAGACATATTAAGAGGTCCATGAAAAGAGAGGAGGAGAAAGGAACACACAAGCACCAAATATCCCTGGCTGGAGGGAGATGAGGAAATAGGGAACAAGTTACTTTCTAGCTGAAAAAGATGACAGGATTAAAAAAAAAATAGGTATTCTAAAAAATAAGATCAAATGCTCTGATTAATCCAAGAGATGAAAGATGCAGAGGAATTAAGGACTGCAGAAAATAACCACTGCCCTGTTGCCTACAGCCACCACAGTTACTCATGACTACTCCTTAGATGTACATTGAAAGCAAATGCTTTTTCTATCCCTAGGCCTCATGAAGAAACAAAACCCACAGAGTAGAGCAGAAGCAATAATAAGAAAAGAGGTGTATTGGTATGAGGTGTGCATCTGGAAGGGAGTGGGCACAACCAGAGCATCTGCTATCACAAGGTGATTATCCCAGCACCAGGGAATTTACTGCAGAGGGGCTGGGGGAAGTGAATTCTAAAGGTCATGTTGCTGTTCTGGAGCCCAATGCTGGTTCACCATCCCAGCAGCCAAAGGCTGTGCCTGTGAAATGAAAGCAGAAGTGAATGAATAAAGAACAAACTGGCAAAAACTAGCTCTGTAACAGAATTAACTGGCTCATTGCAAGGGGAAGGATGCTAACACAACACAGCATCTCAGAGATTTCAAAAAAGTAAACTTCTGGTCCTTCACCAGTTCCATCGTTCTCTTGACACGTTCTAGCACCTCAAGGTCTTTTGTGTCATCAAGGGCCCAAAACTAGACACAGGATTTGAGATGTGGCCTCACCAGTGCTGAGCAAAGGGACATTCCCTGCCCTGGTCCTGCTGGCCCCACTATTGCTGACACAGTCCAGGTGCCATTGGACTTCTTGGCTATCTGGGCCCACTGCTGGCTCATGTTCAGCCATCCTCAACCAGCAGCTCCAGGCTGATTCTCCCCAGGCAGCTTTCCAGTCACTCTTCTCCCAGCCTGTAGCATTGCAGGGGGTTGTTGTGTGTCAACAAGGGAAGAAAGAGCAAGGGATTGTCTGAAGTCAGTGGCCCGTTCCAGCACAAAGGAATCAAACCATCTGCTCCAACTAGGCCTTTACCTGAACCTACAGTAAGTAAGAACTTGCCATGGTCATTGTTTTTTGCTAGCACTCAAATGTGCTAGAGAATAGGAATTTCAGCCGAGTGTGAAAGTGGTGCACAGAGAACATTACCAGGCCCTTTACGAGACAGTGGGCTATTTTTGGGGATCTAATGTGTCAGAACTAGATACTCTCTTCTTGTCAGTATTATTTGGACAATTAATAATCTAAACTTCTCTGAGTCTGCTCAGTATTTCCATTTAGTGATCTTCCCATTGTATTATCACCTCTACATATTACTTCTAACAGAGAATGGCAAAGATTTTGACAATGTCTACAAAGTACTTTTCATTGTCTCAAAGGTGACAAGGTTTTTAGTACCACGCATTGACCAACTGAGCCCCTTTTCCAGTCAGTGGGAACTTCACCAGACTGCGACAGTGCCTCAAACATGATGGAGAGTGGCTTAGACATTTTATCCACCAGTCCCCTCAAGTCCCATGGACACATCTCATCATGTCCTATGGACCTGTGCACCTTCCGTTTCCTTAGAGGGGCTCAATTCTCATCTTCTCCTACAGCAGGTGGTTCATTCTCATCCTTACCTTTCCTTCTACAACTCTGCTGAGGTGCTTGGAACACTTGCCAGTNACTGCTGGCCCGGGGCCGCACCTCCGCTGCTGTGCCCGGGCCTGCGCCGCTCGGTTCAGGAGGACAGTGAGGTGCCGGAGCGAGAAGGGCAGCGATGGAACGGACTGCCCAGGGAGGGGCTGGAGTCGCTGTCCCTGGCGGTGTGTAAGGAAAGGCTGGATGTGGCACTCTAGATGCTCTAGATGACAGGTGATGTTCGGTCACAGGTTGGACTCGAGGAGAGCAGAGGTCTTGTCCAGCCTCGCCAGTTCTCTGATTCCATGATGGAATGCTGTGCGACTTGGTGCCGACAGTCTCTAAAACACCAGGAGCAGAAGGCAGAGACATAGAGCTCTGTGATTTGAGAGGAGTAATTAATTGGCCTGACCGTAAGCTTGGCACATACGTACGTTTTGACCAGGTTTATATGAATTTTTAAGAAAAATAATAGGTTCTTGTATCAGTGAATCCAAGAACCAAAATCAAACACATCAAAGCATGGGACAAAATCATGACAAGTCTGCCAGCACACACATCCTGGTGTAATCACACCAAAGTAGAGGCAGTTGTGGTATATAACATAAAAACTGCTTAAAATACACATATATCTTTGATACATACAAAAGAACTTAAAAACTTAGGGTGCTGGTTTTTTTCCCTAAAGCCCTCTCCACAGAACAGTGTTCTGGCATCTTTTTGCCCATCATCCCCCGCTTTATATCAAGGATAGAATCTTGCAGAATGTTTGCATTTTACTCAGCTTTTTCAAGATATAATTTGGGTTTTTTTAACATGCAGTGACTCTTCTTTCTCAGGATGACAGGAACAGATGTGTTTGGAATTACTGTACCTCTTATTACCAGCACTACTGGCGATAAACTGGGAAAGACTGCTGGAAATGCAGTTTGGCTGAACAGGGATAAGACCTCTCCATTTGAGCTGTATCAGTTTTTTGTCAGACAGGAAGATAATGTAGTTGAAAAGTAAGTTTTTCTCCATCTTTCTTTTTTGTCATTGTTCATAAAACCCGATTCTAACTGTTCACTGTAACTGCTTCGTTTAATTATGTGCAACGCAAGTTCCATGTAGAAGTATGTGTTAATTATAACTGTTTATGAAATAAACAGGCATGACTGGTTCCTAAGCAGATAGGATAGTGGAACTTCCAGATGCTGACATATGCAGCAGCAGATTAGAAGGTGAATGACAAAGAAGTGAAGCATAGTACATTTTGTTTTGCCAGTCGGTTGACTCTCTTGCATGGCTTATTAGTTTTAGTACTGTAGCATCACAGTTTTTTTCAGTACACTATATTACTACATTGATTTTAAGAACTTTGTGTTCTTTTCTATATCTGTTTTACTTTAAACATCAATAGCACTGTAAAATCTCAGCTACTTCCCTTTCATATTGGCACCTGCCTTATAACTTACCTCTCACAAAGATTTATCCCCTAGTAATTCAATTTCATGTTCTGATCACCAGCACCTTTCAGACTGAAAAGAAGGGTATGTTGGTACTTAATCCTAAAATATTTCAAGCATTCAGACTTTTTACTAGTCAGGGTACCTTTAATACATTGCACGGGACTGAAAGTTCATTAAAATTGACTTTGTCGTAAAGAGTAGGCTTAGGGATGCATCTTTAAATTCTTGATTATCCTAAATACTCTTCTGCTGTGTGCATACAAGTATGCTTCTGTCCTGTGATGGCCACAGACTGGCAGTGAGATTTTGCATTAGCATATTGTGGATCTCCTAAGATAAATACAAAACCTTGTTAGCTGACACACGATTCCAATAAATCCTGTAAAAGTTTGAAGAGAAAACTAAATTGTTGATTGGAACACAAGCTTCATAAAAGCATCTGGCATTACATAATGCCTGAAGACTTGACCCTAGGCAGAATATTAGGTAAAATGTGAGCTTTAAAGATTTGATTGAAAGGACAGAGCATCTTAGTATGTATTTCTTATACTAAGGATTTTAGTGCAGTTACTGAAGTTTGAATGACAAAGGCAGGAAATCTGTAATGATGGCTATACAGACAAAACATTTTTTCCCTACTCATAGATACCTGAAACTATTCACCTTCCTTCCTCTTGAGGAGATTGCCCACATCATGGAAATGCATGCTAAAGAACCTGAGAAATGGGGCCCTCAGAAACGACTGGCTGCAGAAGTAACTAAGCTTGTCCATGGTAGAGAGGGGCTGGAATCTGCTAAGAGGTAAAGTTTGATTCATCAAGCTTTCTGATGAATAAATGTTTCAGATTTATTCTGTGGTAATTCTCCATAGCTTTTCAGGGACTATTTTAATCCATTAAGTTGTTGCTTAGATGTTAAAAGAGAAAAATATAATAATCCTGTAGACTTAAAAACACACTGGAAATATTAAAAAAGCTTGCAGGGCAGTAGGGTACAATAAAAAAATGGGGGTGTATTTAAACTATTTCTGTTAGTGTGTGGATTCTCAAAAGAAACTGGGGAGGGGAATCTGATGAGTCGAGGAGCACTTTGTTTGACAAGAACTAGCTCTGTATTTTGAATGCTCTTTGTTCTCACAGGTGCACTAAGGCCCTTTATTACAGCAGTGTGGAGGCACTGGAAGAAATGTCTGACCAAGAGTTACAGGAGCTTTTCAGACAAACTGCTTCTGCTGAATTGATGCTTGAACCTGGGATGACTGTTCTTGACTTGTGCCGCAAAGCAAATGCCATTCCAGATGGACCTAGTGGGTAAGTTCTCACCTGTGCTGTGGGTAATTCTCAAAACAGTATCTACCCTTCTCAGAAAGTGCTGGAGTAGTAGAGTTAAATCAAGTTAAATAATTTTGGACTGAAGGGAAGTGAGAATTAAAGGAACTGAAAGGGAGAATTAAAATATATTTAATTATGCGTCCAACAAAAAAACCCAACTTAAGTGAGCTTTCACTTCTTAATAAATAGCAATTAACAGATGTTTCTGCTTTGTTTTTAAGGTACAGGAAAATTACAGATGGAGGAGTTTCAATAAATGGGAATCGTGTAACGAATCCTGAGACTGTTCTTATTCTGGGACAGCATATTCTGAAGAATGGAGTATCATTACTTAGGGTTGGAAAGAAAAATTATTACATTATAAAGTGGCTGCAGTTGTGACTACAGAGTATCTCCCTAAAATGACAGATCAGTTTAACTCTGCTGCTTGAAGATGTACTTGAAGATGTTTCTGTAGTGTGCATTTCCACACAGCTCACAGACTATCCAGTATCAGTTTCCTTTTCAAAAGAGTTCAACAGAGTTCAAATAAAGGAGCTGAGTTGTACCACTGAAGAGATTGTAGATGCTCTGCCTTATTCAAAGCACCAGTCATAAGGACCTGCACAAGAAAATGAAAAGATTAATTTCAAAGTCCAGCAATGGAGATGTGCATCCCCTCCTTTAACAGCCTTCTGTGCTGTAGGAAAACAGTGGCCAGTTATTCCACAGGATAACTCACAGGAAAATGAGCCAAAGCAAACTCAAACCCACTCCTTACGGCCAATGTGTGCTCATGTAACCAAGAACCTTGCTAGGGACAAAGACAACCATGGTCATCTGTCTCTGAACAGGTTTGTTTTGAATGAAGCTGCAGAAAATTTATAATAAAGGACTAAATGATTAAACATGGAAGTTGCTTCTTGGTTGTGTATGGGGACACACTGCACTAAAGCTTTCCAGCCTTCTTATTGGAATACATGGCAAATTCACTTCTGAAATTTGAAAGTAGAGAGCTTTTCAGAGCTTAAATCAACCTAGTGATTCCCTTTTAGGCCTTTGTGCATAGTATGACTCACAAGGTGACAGTTTTTCCACTTCTTCAGTCTTGTGAATGACATCCATGCTCTCCAGTGTCTTTGCTGAGGGATTATCCAGATACTAGGGCTGTATGCTCTGCAGTCAGCTGGAAGATAGCACATTATACCAGAAGATTACAAGCCAAGTAATGTGAGCTACCCAAGAGTTGCGGGTGAATGGCACCACAGGGTCTCTGGACCAGAAAACACTTGAGGGAACCTCAAGTGCTCTGCAGTGTTGCTTTCAAGGATCAGGCCTCACTCTTAGGCCGTGGAGAATAATGTCCTGGTCCATGAAATCTTCAATACCAATTTGCAGTAGCGGCAGCCACAAGGGGGGGGAAGTGGAAGCCTTAATCTAAGCTTCTGGAATGTGGTATATATATTCCAGAGTAGGGTGGGGAGTTTGTTACTGTTTTAGGTACCTTTTTTATGTTTCTTCTTACTTGATAAAGTTGATGCTGATTTCATTTGCACCATGACTCAAGTTTTCAACAGTAATACAGTGGCTTGCTTCTTACAGATGACAGTTTCTGCTGGCAGTGAAACTGAAATAAAGTACTTTCAGAAGCTCAGCCTATTCTTAGTGTTAATTTCAGTTTCCAGATCCTACTTACTCTGTCTAATAATGACACATCTCTAGCCTAATCTCTATTATAAAGCAATAAAAAGTAGTTGAGTCATTTCTACCTCAAAGAAAGCACAGAGAGGAAAAGGGGGAAGGCAACACAAGAGGAAGGGGAAAGGGAAAGTTCATCCACCTAACACAACCACCTTGTTCGTTAAATGACAGAAGCACTAGAGCAAATCAGAAACATGCACCTAAGGATCAAAATCCTCCAGTACACACCCATGTTCACCTCCAGAGAAATAAAACAGAGCCCATTTGAGAGGTTTTTTCTGGTTACACAAAAATCTCCTAGGAATAAGTAGTGTTTCATGTCTGATCTCCTTCCTGCCTGTTTTCTGTCATTGCCAAATGGTGCAGATGCACATATATACCCATTTGTAATAAATTAGTAAACTCAGTTTTTAGAAATACAAAACAAAAAAAAGGAATAAAGTTCTTGGCATGCAAGGTTTCTGATAAGATTCATAAACTCTAAGACATTTAGTACATGGCTTGCCTTTGACCAAGTCCTAGCAATCCAAACCCTTCCCTGACTCTTGCCAGACAAACAGCTGGATACAACCACTACTTGCCATGACCATACAGGGCCATCACCACTGAGCATGTCAAAGTTCGGGCCAAGGATCAAGAACAACTGGAAAAGTCAACTGTTCTTTCTTAGTCTGGTCTTATTTCTTATATACAGGTACATTCAGATAATCAGAGTTTATGTTCAAATGTGAACAAGAAGTAATGAATATTAAACACAGAAATGCATGATTTTAAAAGTGCAGAAATAAAAGCAATTATTTGGGCAAGATATTTTAAAAAAACAAACAAACTAAAAAAGCTTCACCAACAACATTTTTACAGCACAACCTGGAAGACTTGAATTGATTATGGCAGGTAGCAATCAAGAGGTAAAGGGTGAAAGGGCATGCAGCAGGTAAACCCATGGGAACATGAAAGCACCTTCACTAGTTTAAATAGTGTCATTGAGCACAAAACCATATCTAAGTGGTATTAAACTTCAAGAAATCAATCCTCTAGCTCTCACCTCAGAGCAAGTTTAATTAGCAACAGAAAGCAGATGCAAAGGGTGATCCTCAGTAACTATAGAAAACACCAGATATCCATTGTTCTCATAGCTGAAGGAGAAAAGGATAATTCAAGTTCCCAACAGGGGCACAACAAAGTGGCAAGTTATTTCCCCTGCTGTGGTCCATAAAGCAGGGACCTGAGTTTGCCATATCCAATCTGGCATCTGTCATTCATCCACAAAGCAATGAATAAAGGCAGGTTTTACACAAGGTCTGCTCTGTTCACTTCAGAGTAAGGTCTGATGCACACAGACACCACCACCCTCTTTACCCATCTATTTCATTATGTAAAATTTGAACCTGACTACTAAATACAAACTGTTCACACCAGGATACTGTGTTTTAGTTAAAGCAGGACTACAACAGCCCAGGTAACAAGGTAACATTTACTGATCTGAACTTGGCTACAGGGAGCTTTCCTCTCCATTATTCTCTCCCCACTGGAGAGCAAGTTAGGAAAAATTTTGTCCATTGATGACAAAACTATTTCAAGTTTAAATTAAATAAGGTGATGTAGAAGACAATTGTAAACCATCAGTCTAATCTGGGAATTTTTCAGTTTCTGCCCTCATTAGGCTTTTTTCCACCGCTTTCCCATAATTTTTTTTAATGTTGGTAGTAATACTGGCATTTTAAGTATTTTAGCTCAGTTCCACACACAGCTTGCTTGAAACCTATCAGTAGGCTTGAGCAGCCTGTCTAGAGTATGAGTTACAGAACTATTCAATAATGCAGAACTGAGTGAGAACAAGTGAAATCATAACTAAAGCTGTACACATATAGGAACTTATACTACTAACTTACAAGTGCATTTAAGTCCTGCCACCAGAACAAGTCAGTCCAAAACTAATTCTGGCATAATTAATTTTGTGTATTATCTGTTTATTAAATAACAGGATTGTTACAGCATGGACCTTCAAAGTCTTGCATTAAGGATTACAAATCAAGTTCATTTCTTGGCACTCAAACATTACCAAATTGAAACTTTTTGTGAAACTTAAACAAAAAAAGTTGTAACATTTCAGAAACCAAATTAACACTGGAAATTTCATATGACATTACAGAGCCAGGTATCACTTGCAAGAATTTCTTCAATAAATGAAATTAATTTGCTTTATGCAGCATTTCAAAACTTTACAAATCAGAGTATTTCTTCACAAAGAGACTGTTGGCTGAACTTTGGGAGTTAAAGCTTAGGTAGCAGATCACTTATGGACGGCACTACCTCGTTGAAAACTTCTTGGATGTTGAAAGCAAAAGGAAGAGAGGTGTCAGGTGAATTCCAAACAGAAATGTAATGCTTTTGAAAAAACTTAAAAGCTTTCACTGATCACCAAATTGATTTAAGACGTGGTTTACACTTCAGTCATATTTCTTAAATCTGAGAACTACCATCCCTGGATACAATGCAAGATAAAAGTACCTCCTTTGTATTCATAACATGTAATGCATACACCACTTTTTAGGCTATTTAAAAATACACAATATATATTTCTGTGTTCTGCATGAATTACCTTAGATCGTACATGAAGTATCCAAAAATTGCATCTGTCAGACTTAACTCCTTGTGCTCATATTGATGGCAAATTGAAGATTACCATGAGAAAAATAAATTTTTAAACAGAGCTGCTTGTAAACTGAATTTTTAGATTTTCAATCTTTAGCAACTTATCAAAGGAAATCCATTTTTGTTAACTGATTTCAGGGGGAAGGAACTGCATATGGTAATAAAAACCTCACTATCTTGGCCCAATACCATAAAATCAAGCCATGGAGGTTAACAGCAGTGTCCTACTTCTCATGCAAGTTGTGTTAAAGTATCAGCAACACTATAGTAAACATTTTCACTTTATACAAAAAGAGTGAATCTGCTTGAAAAGTACATGCAAATATGTTGGCTGGAGTTTAAATAAACTTTTATTGATAAAAATGAAAATGTTTACTTTTTCAAGGCTAGTGTGATCAAGTTCTGTATGAATTATAATCAGAAGAAAAAAAGAAACCTCATCAACTTAATTTCCAACCTAAAATTTAATAATTTTACGATTGTCCTCAAAAAAAAAAGCTACTTACAGCACAATAAAAATTCCTCAAAAGCAACTGTAATCTCTGATATAAATATTCCAATTCCACAGACTTTCTTTCATACTGTCATACATTCCAAAATTTGCAGAAGTTGTGGGCATCCCCTTCTCCCTGACCAACTTCATCTGTTTTTAAAAGAAACGCTTATTATCCCATTACAGTTTTGAAATTCAGTTTTATTTTTCAGTTCTGCCAAGAGCAAATTTACTATCAGATGCTCCAGGGGCTTGGTCCCAAGGGGGAAGGAAGGGGAAGGTGTCCTTGTGCCTGATTATAAACCCCAACATTCATACACAAGCTCCAGTGCACGTTAATAACTCTGCAGCCACTTTTTAGTAGGCTGTTCTTGTTCGCAAGCTCCAGGCTAATTCTTCCTACATGATACTCCATGAAATCAAGTCTGAAGTTTTCTCTGCCATTGAAACATTTAGGGACAATGAGAAAAAAAAAACCAACAAAAAAGGGAACACACATACATAGTAATACGCTCAACATCTCTACTGTGCTATAAAATGGAGACCTCCATCTGTCACAGTGCATGCAATATATTCATGAAAGAAAATACTCGGTGCTCTCTTTTCTTCACAGTATTGAAACTTCTACTGGAAAAGCAGCTTAAAACTATGCCACAAGACTACACCGGCCATCTTAACCACAGGCAACCTGTTCAGCAAGTTGGGCACTGGAACTTGAACATTTTTCCCCAAGTTCAAATTAGACTGTCACTGAGACAGAAGACTTGGTCTGCTTTAATTTGCACCAGAAACCTGGTAAGGAAACATTTAGAGCCATTTATTATATGGATTAAATACGACTTCTTTTGCAAAATACAGCATATTTTTCTGTTTGCAAATCAAACCAACTGTCTTTACATGAGCAGATTTACACAGTTGCAGTACACAGATAAGAAGAGTTCATAAATAAAAATTCTACTCCGTATACCATGCCTAGCAATTGTCAAGCCAATGTAACCTCCAATGCATATAAATAGTGTGGCTGATACAGTCTTCACCAAAGATGTGTCTCACGGATCTCTGCAAT